TCTATTGTGTCACACAGTGAGTTTATACACAGAATGATGAATGCTTAGATTGAGTGTTAAGTCTATTGTGTCACACAGTGAGTTTATACACAGAATGATGAATGCTTAGATCGAGTGTTAAGTCTGTTGTGTCACACAGTGAGTTTATACACAGAATAGTGAATGCATAGATTGAGTGTTAAGTGATTGTGTCACTCAGTGAGTTTATACACAGAATGATGAATGCTTAGAGTGAGTGTTAAGTCTATTGTATCACACAGTGAGTTTATACACAGAATGATGAATAAGTATATTAAACCTGCTTTCCAGCACCAACATAGTCATAGCACCATCTGTGGGAAGAGAAGTACGTTTTGCTAAGCATATACTTAGCTTTTTATCTGCTACTAATTTTACTCTAGTGTGAGCACTGCCATCTTTGATTGGTACATTGCACAAAAATGTTGTAATTCGATGACCTAATATTCCAGACACATGGATAGTGTATTTCTATATAATTAATAGATTTCTGTACTTTACATCCATACCATACGTTGCCTGTAATGCTAACAAACTATTTTATTTCTTAAATGGAATTTCAGATTTTTATTGTGTTAAACAGTATTTTATCATGTGACAGTAACTATGACATCATCATCTTTGCATGGCCAACTAAAATTCTATCACACTGTAAACAGGCCTGTATATGCTCAGAACTATCATTATGGCAAATTATGCTAAATATATATCAATGTTGGGAATGTCTTTACTTTTGCTATTTCGCAAGTACTTCAACACATTAGCCGTTCAGCATCACAGTCATTAATTGTCAACCATAGTTTTTCTTTTCCTTTGGTTTGGAAATTTCGGAACAACAACAATTTTAATAAAAATCTTACTTGTGTTTCTGTACAACTCATTAGTTTCATCTCGAATGTCTCTAGCAATATAGGTTGCATCTGAACTGCAAGCATCATTAAATAGCCTGAAAAACTTTGTACTTCGAAAGTAGACATTTTCTTTCCGCGCCTGTGGATCAATATGTTTCATCCTCCATGTTCTTTGTCAACATCACTGTGTAATTCTGTGTGTATTTTTATTCAATAATATATATACGTGTATAACAATGACACAAAAATTAGTCTGGCACTCTTCATCTTGTTGATGCAAGAGGGATGGAGAAAAATTAAAATGTGATTATCGCTCCACTTGTGTAACATGATGTTTTCCTGCTCGGTATCGACATTATATTTGACGTTACAGTCGCTGTATAATTGATATTATTCTGCTCAACATCGGCAGTGCGCTTGACGTCGCACTCGCTGTAATGAAAATGGAATGATGTAAAATATTAGAGGAATACTTGGAATAAAGTCAGTGATACTACAGATGTAATAAGATTACTCAAAATAAATGACTTATACTGATGGATTGACCAATACATGTAGATTTAGGGACGATGAATAACAAATCAGGCAAACGTAATCACGTACTTGGCGATTGTGACGCATCACAGTCTGTTTAGAATTCACGTTAGACGAGAAGAATAGTATGCGAGACGTGTTTGGTTGAATAGAAATATTTTAAACTGTAGAGTGAACAGTATTTTGAGAAGCAAAGACTCGTTAAGAAACAATACCTTAGTGGCAAAATGTTATTGGAAACAATTCC